ATATTGTTTGACAAAAGAAGCAAGCCTACATCCGGAGAACTTAAATTCTAAATGAAATACTGTTCACAGACGATCAGTCTACTGCATAAAAATAAGGTAAGATTGAACTTTGGTGGACCCATCATTGAGGGGGGCTGGAACTACTTTTGGGCGTCGTGTGATACCCTGCGCTGGTCCACTGTTCTTCCTTGTAGGCCGCCACGGCGCGCTCTCTCTCCTCTCCCTCTCTTGCCTGCATCCTCTCACGTCGGGCTCATTTCGTCAACTGAAAGTTTCTACCGGATTTTTCCGCCGCAAAGCCCGTGAGTTGGCGCGAGTGGCTAGACCCAAGCATTGATTGGTCAATCTAGTCACGGCATGGCACCACCTCCACCATGTCTCCCCCTCTCTTCACTGGTCCGGTAAACTTCACCCGCGCATCTATCATGGTATCTAATGCCTAGCCTTGGCTGGCAATGTGGGTCCACTAAAGTTCTTGGGCAGAACCAACTAGTTAGAATGTTCCTGGTCCCCTTTTCTTTTCTCTGTTTATTATTGATTTGCATTATGTGTGTTTTCTCAATTATCATTGTGGCCAGGCCCCCCTGAAACCCCCCCACCTCCCATCCACCCTCCGCTGTCGAATACTACAAGTTTTCGTAACCTAAGTGCTGAAGGTGCGGTCCACCATACGTAAGCCATCCTCCAAGTGTTTTCTTAATTATCATTGTGACCAGGGGGGCAGGCCTCCAAGACATTATGCAACAATGGGCAATTACGCGCTGACGCGCACGCGCGCTAATTTGTATTGTTTGAACTGATAAGTCATCTGGGTATCTCTGCACTGTCCCGCTCATTTTAGTTAGTCTCTGTTGTTTGTCTCTCTCTCTTGGTATTCTGGCAGCCCTCACTCACTCCGCCTCGCGTCGGTTCCTCGGGGCAGTCTCGCAGCCCTCACTCACTCCGCCGCGCGTTGGTTCCTCTGGGCAGTCTCGCAGCCCTCACTCCCTCCACTTCGCGTAGCGGTCGATTAGGACCCATGACTGTAAAGTCCGTTGTTTGCCTAGTGCGTATTAATAATATAAACACGGTGGGTCCACCAAAGTTCAATCCAGCCAAAAATAACACTGAACTGCAGGAACATGCTGACAAACAATCAATTCTGTAGAAATGTGTGCGAGATGGAATGCCTCAGGTAGGCACTTGGATAAAAATTTCAAAGCTTTCAAATTGCTTTAAAAACAATACCAATGCAAAGAGCTCAGTGACACGATTCCAACGCTACCTTAGTTATTGCTCTATGTTGAACCGTTTTTGAGATATGGCATTTTAAAGATCTTTTTGAGGGGATAACATCTATATAGAAAAAAAAGGCAATTTTTGTGATCGAAACAGCAAGGACAACAAGGGAAATGTTAGCTGCTTCAATATGCTGCTGCGTACATGCAAAAACCAAACATTTTCTGAAACCTTGTGATGTTGAGGACAAAATAACAGTCAGACGAGATTTTTAAAATATGTCGTGGTGGGTAATATTGGGTAATATTATGTAACACTGTGTTGTGTAACGTGACCGCACCGTCCTGCGGTCAATATATTTTGCCATAACTTTCTTATAAATTAAGCTACATCAATAATTGAGGTATCGTTTTGAAGGTCTTTTTAAGGCCTTTCTTTTGGAACATCTACATATCAAATATCAGTAGAATTAACAAAAAAACTGATTAAAAAATAAAATATATTTTAACAAAACAGCTGGTCGCCTAAAATAAGATGAGCATAGAAGTTTTTAAAGTTAACATTTGTGTCTACAGCTGCTGCAAACTAGTGTTTTTAGTCTACCTTAATTCATGATAATACTGTTTTTTAAATTCATTTTGCATGTTATTGTTAGAATGTTTCTTTCATGTTTTAATTTGTCATGTAAATGATCAATTACTCTGTCTTTATCTTTGATTTCTCTTTTACATCTTTAACTCATGAGATTGCCCTGTAAGTTAAACAATAGTCTCTTCTAATTTTATTACTTCAGTTTGTTCAGCAAGTTTTTCATTATATTTTTATTGTGTTTATTTAAATGTTCAACTTCTTCAAAGACAATTAGTTGTGAAATATGACATGTTTTTTGAAGCACGCAATTGTGTCACGATACTTATTTATTCTTTCTTTATTTCTGGCAATTGTTTAGTTCACCCAGTCTGCCAACTTGATATTGTTAAATTAATGTCAATTTTTTTTCCTTGTCTGCAACAAATGCTTTCTTAAGTGCTCAATTTTTTTGCAACTTGTTCAAACAAGTTTTTCTGTGAATTCGACCAACTCCGCAAGCATTTCTGGATTTTAATTAAAGTCAGGATTTATTCTGGTGAGCTGTCAATAAATCCAATGGAACAGTGGCAGGTTGTGATCAGGGGCTGTGGAAAGAAAAAAAAAAGCAAAGCAATGAATTCATCAATGAAGTAAATAAATTCATTTGTGAGCAGTGGATGGAAATTTGACATTTTCACACTACAATGCTACAACTCTAGTAAAGGGAGGGTGTAGATAGATGACTAGACAAGAGAAAAAACATCTTCTAATAAACATGTAGATCTATCTAAAACAAACTGGACAAAGTACATGATAATTTAAAGAGATATTTAAATAACAAGCACACACAAAAACAATTAAGAAGAAAAAATATTTAAAGACAATATAAGCACACAAAAGAAGTAAAAACTTGCGTGAAATCGATGGTCTAACAGTGACAGTAACACAGAAACAAAACAAGGCCAAGGCTGTTACATTTCCCTCCCCCCACCCAAGACTCCTTACTGATTGTTACATGGTTCAAATTCATAAGAACTATACAACAGTGATACATATTACATTCCAAAATTTAAAATAAATCATATCTTCTACTATGAAACATTCTTCAATGCCGTTTAAGAGGTAATAAACGCCAACAATACACGTTAGCGTGGGTTAAGTTCGCTTTCCGCAATGGCCGCCATGACCTCCCGGTTCACGCTCAGCAGCGCGATCGATAATAGGTCATGCCCATTCATGGAGAGTGACCTATTTAAATTAGGGCTCACACGCTTATGCCTCAACGTACAACATTGAAATTAACAAATAAAAGAGATAAAAGGTTGAAGAAAAGACTGTGAGGAGTACCTAAAAAAAAAAAGATATACTCTTTAAATATAAAGGCTTGAACTTACCTTATTTTTAACTCCTTCTAACTCCGAACACACACAACCGATCCCGAAGTGGAAAACGCCATAATACGCGCCTTTCTTTCCTCTTTAATTTGATAGGCGGAAGTAATCCATAAATTGAAAAGAACACTATAAACGAAACAAAACAAATAGGTACCCCCCTCACGGGGCCCGATTTCTGACACAAAACGCGGCGGCCGCAGGTGAACGAAAATCTCGGGCCGCGCGGGCCGATATCCAAGTGCCTACCTCAGGAAAAAATTAACAAGAGAAGAAGTGAGAAAGTGAGAAAAAAGAAAAGAAAACAAGTTCGGACAACACCATGTATGAAATACATTGAAAAAACAATGCATTAAATTGCCCATGTGGGCCAATAAGCCCCAGCTTGTGGGCAAATAAGAGCAGCCAAATTTTAATGAATAGATAGAATCTAGATCTAAATCTAGAATCTAGATCTAGATCAGGATCTAGCTCTTAGTAGATTATTATATCTACCGATCCGAGATTCGGTGCTTTTTCGGTAGTTCCCACCCCCCTTATCTGACCTACTTCTAGATCTCGATTCTAGATCTAGATCTATAATGTTTGATTCACGGCAAGCTAAAGGCTAAGATATCAAACCTAACAACTGCAAAACATTAAATTGTAAAATTCAGGGGGGCATGCCCCCAAGAAACCCCCCACCTTATTTTTATTAAGTCAGGGGGGCCAGCCCCCCTGAAACTGAAACCCCCCTACTCTTGAGGCCAAAACCCGTGAATAACAATTGCGGGGTGGGAACTACAGAAAAAGCGCCCGAGATTCTCCATTGTGATTGACATTGAGTTTGAGATATATAAAAAACTATATCTAGATCTAGGATCTAGATCTAGATCTAGATCTAGATCTAGATCTAGATCTAGGGAAAATCATGAATTCCTAAGGTTGAGACACAAGCAAAGTCAGTCCACTGGTCCAGTATTCTTCAATCTATCGATATTATTTCCGCTAATAATCGCAGAGTACTGAGAGCTAAATAGCCTAATAAAACAAAAAATGACCTGGCCTGACCTGACCTGAACTTGTGCCCATTATTATTGCAACTCAACAGTCAGCCTGGTAAATCTGGGAAATAACTTTTCTTTGGTTTTTGTTTTTTGCCTGAAAGCTCACTACTACAATTGGGAACACAATGGTAATAATATTTCTGATAAAACACAATAAGCCTTGTTCCGATTCCGAAAAGGTCTACCTCGACGTGCGCTGCTGCAGCGAAAACCACCGACTTCACTGGGCAACCATCTTGGATTTGTGATGTCAAAATATCAAAAGCAAAATGGCGTCTATACAAAGATGGGGAGGGGAATGGGGGTGGGGAAGAGGCTGTTCTTGCAAGCTTGAGTGGTGTTGTTCTGAGCGCGATCTCATTTTTGCAATTAAAGCAAAGCTAGTCAACAGCACAAGGTAAAATATCTAAATCAGATGCTTATCGGACTTAATACAAAGTTGCGTTGCTCGAAAGCCGCTACTTTGTCGAAAGCTGCCGGTCAAAGTGGGCCTACCGAGTGTATCCCGAGGTCAGCATTGCCTTCCGTCGAGGCTCAACTCGACACTACATCAGACTCTGGGGCTAAAAGGATAACGATTGTTAACAACCCAATGACACCAAGAAACATCGCATTTCGAGTTATTCAGTGCAGAAAAAACAAATCGTATAACATAAAGCAAAATAAGAAGCAGTGACAGAATGAGAGACAGGAGAACACAAACGCTGCAGATCGAAGACAAGATTGGACCGAAGCATCAACAGCCAAACAACATACATTGAGCAATCGCCCTTACCTAATTTGATGAGAGGAATTCTGTAGTCTTTCTTTACTACCCTGGAAAAATTGCACATATCACAGAATAAGCTTGATAACGAATACACACATAGTACAATTATCTACATAGCACCGGTTGGGAGACATTTGAGAGCGAAAACGATAACTTTTTCCAGCAATTCACTCGCTTCTTACAGCCATTCCTAATGGCCGATTCGGCTACAGCAAGCTATGTAAATGCTCCGTATACGCATGCGCAGTGGTCACGTGGCCCACACAAGTGCCCGCATTGATTTTTTTTCTCGAGACTCGAGACTGACTTGAGCGTAGGCTACTGTCAAACAGTCAAGGACGGAGGCCTTGCACTTGCTGTTACTCCCTTGTTTTGGGGTGGTGAGGGGCGGGGGGGTGTGAACAACATTCTACTTTACGATAAATATTTATTTCAGTTTTTCATCCTTTTTTTTCTTCAATGTTTTTGATCCGTGTGCTATCAAATTAATTCTAAGCTTCACACTGACTAATTATTTAGTGTGTGTGAAGTATGAGTAAGCTGTGGCACCGCAACTGAAGAGCAAGAATTAAACAGTGTCATAGATCTAGTAGGCTACACGTAAGGAATAATAAACAATTATTGTGAGGAAGAAAGTGGGCGGCTGTACTTATGAAGGTGATCCGTTACCATTTATAGCTTCTGTACACTATAACGTAATTTGGACATGCGATTTGAAAAACTTCACATCACACTCAAACGCGTCGCATTTGCACTCAAGCCACAGAATTCTACACTTAAGTGTAGAATTCTGTGACTCAAGCTCATTATACTGGGAAGGGAGTATGCGTGTATGCAGTTCAGGGCGGAGCTCTGAGAAACTATTTTTAGTCAGTACGTAAATTTCTAAGTATGTCTGCTACATACATGTTACATGTATATATTGTCTAAAACGTCATGTAAAGTGGTATAACAAATTATCTCTTTTAAATCAATAATATCGGTACAAAACTGGGATTTTTTGCTCGTTCAAACTTTACAGGCTACCTTTCCGTTCCTGCTTGGAAAATGAATGGTACCAGTAGGCCCTAGATATATAGGCCTAATAATAATAATATTATTATTGGATCTTGCCTTCTGACTGAACTGGAAACAACGCAATTTCCGGGTATATATTATTACTCTAAAGTATCGAATAAACGGAGGGTGGGTAGGAATTAACGGGGTGTGTGGACAAGTGGTCCAAAATTAATAAACGTGGGTTGGAATAAACGGGGGATGTGGACAAGTGGTCCAAAATTAATAAACGGGGAGGGGGGTCACATTCAACACACCAACAAAAATCTGTTTTACTTCTCCTTCAGTGAATAAAAGAACAAGAGATCATGAAATTTTAGTTAGTTCCTGTTACAATTTTTTTCCATTCAGCAGTTTCCTTTTTAAAAATATAAACCAAGGTACATAAGTTTTTAAAATGCACAGAAAATCGAGGTAGCCAACCCAGTACCGGTACTAATACTGATACTGAGGGTAATTTGCCATTTACAACAACAACAAAAGTTTCATTCAGGTATCTTGATTCCATTTGTTTCACATGATCGTCGGCCGTGGCAAACTGGAAAATAATAAACGAGGGGTATGAAATATGGAGCGCGGGGGTGCGCAAAAAAAACCTTGAAAATTAATAAGCGGGGGAAGGGGGACGCTTATTTATATAAAAATGTCGATACCTTAGAATTTGTATTTATTTCTTTGCTTTTCTTTTTGTTGGTTGGGGGGGGGGGCGCTTTGTTTGAGAATGTGAGTGTGGTCTACTGCATGCGACTAGAATCAAATTAACTTCGTTTGCTGCTTGAGTTAACTTTATAATGCAATTATTCACGCACGAGTTGGCGAAAGCATGCATGAGTTGTGAATTGAAAACGGCCAATCTACTTTAACTTTAAATCCTACTAGATCTACATGTAAATACTTTGTTCTCTTTCGTTTGTCCGCGTTCAAAAATTTTTATAGCTCTTAATTTACCTGTGTATACAAAGCTTTCGTGCAGGCCAGCAACCAAACAAAAATATTACTTTCCAAAAATCTTTATTCTGTAGATCTAAGCATAATTTTTTTTTTAAGTTTCTCTAGATCTATGTGGGCCCCATATTAAAAACCGCTCTTTGGGTGCGTACAGATGATCACTAAAATAAATGACTAGCACTCAAATTGTTCAATTTGAGACAACAACACCCTTCCCCCATATTTCAGTGAAACATAGTTTAAGCTGTAACTTTTCTCCCATGACTGCCTCGACGTGTCACGTGAGTCTCGAAAAGTACTCACCCGTCTGTTGGACCGTGTTGCTTACACGTGAAGTGTGGTGTTGAAGAAAATAAAACAGCTTTTAGTTGTATATGTATTTTTTTTATCCGCCTTTGGTTAGTGTCGGAACCTTAGTTTGCAGTGACTTGGTTGTTTTTGTTTTTTTTATCAATAAGCATTTTGATTATGTTGGTCATCCAACTTTTAAGGCTAATACCGCACTACGACATATTTGTCTTGGACAAGACTGTCCTGTCCCATCGTCGATTTTTTTGCATGTCAAAATAGATACCGCACTAGAACAGGACTGATCTGGCCCATAAGGCGGCTTTTTTGTTGTTGCCCACGGCGAGGTTAAAAATGCATTCCAAAAATTTCCTAAATATTGTCCAAATTATTTTTTTAAAAAGATTTTCGTGATCAGCGACCCAAAATTAGCAAAAATCCCGCGGGGGACGCAATTTAATTCTCAATTACGAAGTTAAATCATATATTTGTATGTGTGTATGTGTGTGTGTGTGTGTGTGTGTGTGTGTGTGTGTGTGTGTGTGTGTGTGT